ACGCCCTTTTTATAGTAGGTTCTGGCCCCACCCACAGCCCCGTCTCGCGCCTTGGCTCTGGCCAATGGCGACTGCGCCCAGGCCAGAGTGACGCTGCGGCTGGCCTGTTGGCGGAGGCCAGAGCAGGGAGGGGACGGGACGGCAGGCGCGCATGCGCGCTGACGGGCGGAGGCCGGTTCCCGCCCGCCGGCTCCGTCGCGGTGACTGCGGCGCTGGGCGCGCAGCGTGGGGTGCAGCTCTGGGGAGGGGCGGCGGCGCGGAGCGCAGGGGATGGGTCCGTGTGGAACCCGCGAGGGCGGTAGGGTGCCCGCGAGCGGGAGACCGGAGGGCCGTGGCGCTTCGGACTCTGCTCCGCAACGAGAGGAGTCCTCCCATTGCACTGAGGGTGCAGTTGAGGCGAACGCGGGCCTCAAGGTCGCGCCGTCGGTCAAGGTCGAGCGGAATCTCGCGCCCGACCCTACGCTTCAGCGGGCGGAGATGGCGCGTCCGGGAGGCCGGGGAAGCAGCCTTGCGCCCTTATTCCGCCGGGCGACCACCGCGTCCGGTACGGCCATGCCAGGGAGTCGAGGTCGTCCTCGGGCATCGCGGTTTTCTCGAACCCAAGGACGGGGCACAAGCGGTTCCCCCATCTGAGATGTTATGACATGCTATCAGAATGCCCTAGTTTCCGAAAATATCTTGCACACTGTTTGCATTTTCTCCAGGAGGAAGCCATTGGAACGGGAGCCTGGCCGGGCTCCTACCTGGGAAGGCACAGTGTGCACATTTTTTGCCCTCTTTTTTTTTTTTTTGGTTTCTTCTTTTAAAATCTCTGCTCCCCGCCCCACCCCTGCCTTCAGGGGCAGAACTGTGCTCTGATTTCTGAGTGAAAGATAAGCCACAATTTAAAAGTGAATTCCTGCAGGCAAAGACATTAGTAATACCTTTATTAAAATGCACTTATGTGCCTCGTCTTTTGTACAGAAAACGTTGAAAAAGGAATTTATATATTCTGGCTGCCACTGAATTGTAATATTCAGGACTTTTTTTTTGAGTTGGTGTCTCACTCTGTTGCCCAGACTGGAGCGCAGCGGCATGCTCACGGCCACCTGCAGCCTCCACCTGCTGGGCTCAGGCAATCCTTCCACCTCAGTCTTCCCAGTGACTGAAACCACAGGTGCACCACCATGCCCGGCTAGTTTTTTTATGATTTATGGTAGAGTGAGTTCTCCCCAAGCTGTCCAAGTTGGTCTTGAATCCCTGGACTCAGGCAATACTCTAGCCTCTGCCTCCCAAAGTGCTGGGGTTACCGCTGTGAGCCACTGCCTGACGGTGATGTTATTTAATGTTTCCAAAACTCAGTTTCTTCATCTGCAAGACCAGGATAGGGTTGTCAGACAACATGAGAATTCATCTGATGGGTGAAGTCCAGTGTCTGGCCTCTTGCCATTGTTATTAATACCATCATGAGCTTATGGGTGCTAGGAATTGAGAGAGCATGTTGCTTTATTCTCACAACCATCCCGTTATCTCCATTTTACAGATGTGGAAAGTAAGCCTCTGGCTTCTTGCTCAGAGTAATCCGTTTATGAGTGTTAGCAAAACCAGAATTGGAAACTGCTTTTCTTGCTCACTCTACGTTACCCAATGCTTTGTGATCGAGAAAGGTACTTGTTCTCAACTAACGCTAGAAAAATTGACCCAAGGGCCATCAAGCATAAATTCCCCCAACTTTTCTCTCCTCCCTTTTGAAACCTAGAGAGAGCAGTTAGGAACTCCAGAGAAATAAATAAATACATGAACAAATAATAAAATAAATACACTAAGCCGGGCTCGGTGGCTCAGCCTATAATCCCGCACCTTTGGGAGGCTGAGGTGAGTGGATTGCCTGAACCCGCGGGTTTGAGACCCGCCTAGGCAACGAGACCTCATCTCTACAATAAATCGAAAAATTAGCCGGGCGTGGTAGCACATGCCTGTAATTCTGGCTACTCGGAAGGCTGAGGTGGAAGGATCGCCGGAGTCCAGCAAGTCGAGGCTGCGGTGGCCGGGAGCGGCCACTGCACTCCAGTCTGGGCGACAGAGTGAGACTCCAACTCAAAAAAATAAAAATAAAATAACTACACCCTTGTGACTTGTCTTCCCTCTTGCTACTATTTGAAGCCCTGCCCCTTTGTCACCAACATTATCCCAGCAAGATCCTAGGTTTTCTCATTTCATCCACACAGGCATAGGGCGTGGACACTCAAGAATACAAATGCTCACCTTTTGTTTGTTAAAGGCAAGGCAGATGTCATAGGGGACACTTTTCTAGCATTATCTGTTGAACTGGACTTCCTAACTGTAAAATATCAGCAGAAACAGAACCTTAGGATTGTGGGGCTGTCCCGGCCTTATTTGGATGAATCTGACCAAAAGTGAATCCAACTGAACTCAACAGTGCTCTAATCTGGCTAGCTGAAGGTGTTCTGGACCAGTGAGGGGAAACTCGCCTGTAGCTTTTGTTCACACAGCATCTTGTAAACAAATGCTTATCTCAGAAATATATCTGAGTAAGAGAGAAGGTAATGGGGAAAAAAATCAAAGTATTCAAAATTATAAAACATTTGAAAGAAGGTAGTGTCTTCCGTGTGCCTCTTGCCCAAGGCCTTGCTTAGTACCTCTGCTTCCAAAACCAAGTGGTATGTTTCATCATCTCTCGCTGGGAAAGCTTCCTCTTCTTGATGGCTTTGACTTTCTCTCTCTCTCTCTCTCTCTCTCTCTCTCTCTCTCTCTCTCTCTCTCTCCCCCACTCTGTGTGTGTGTGTGTGTGTGTTTGTGTGTGTGTTTGTGTGTGTGTGTGTGTGTGTGTGTGTTAGGGTCTCACTCTGCCACCCAGGCTGGAGTGCAGTGGCATGATCACAGCTTACAGCAGTCTTAACCTCCTGGGCTCACGTAGTCCTTCCACCTCAGCCTCCCCAATAGCTGGAACTACAGGTTTGTGCCATCACGACTGGCTATTTTTTTCTGTAGCGAGGAAGTCTTGCTATGTATGTTGCCCAAGCGGTGTCGAACTCCTGGGCTCAAGCCAACCTCCTGCCTCAGCCTCCCAAAGTACTAGAATTATAGGCGTGAGCCACTATGCCTGGTTCTCCTCCTTGTTTCCTTTACATCTGACCATTTCCCCATTAACTCTTTCACAAATTTCTCTTTCTGAATTACACATTTTATCTTGTTTTCTTCCCTTACACACCCCAACTACCAACATCCTCCATTCCCATGGCTCAGATTCTCAGATGACTCTGAACCCAGCTCTCCATCCAAGCTCACTCCAGGGCTCCCAGTGGATTCTCCCTGCTTGTCGGGTCTCTCCCCATAGATGAAGCCCTCAAGACGGCACCTTCTCCTCTCTTTTCCTGGTCCTTCCTTTCCCCGGGCCTTCTTTCTCCAT